AATTTGTTAGTTTGATGTTTGTTAGATTCAAATTGAAATTTAATTGATTATTTCTTCAATTTGTTTCATGTTGTCATATATTTTCCAGAAATTATTAATGTTGTTTGAGTCATTTAATCTGTCATGTTTTTTGTTTTAAAAAATAGTTTCATTCATGTTCATACTTTGTTTGGTTGATCTTGAATCCGAAATTTGTATAGTTTGATTTCTTGTTTATCACTTATGATTATTTCTTGAATTTGTCTCATAATCTTATTTAAAGTTTAATATAGGAATTGTTTATTGTAATGTTGTTAGAGTTAATTTTAAGTTCAATATTATTGAATTTAGAAATCTAAATATACTTGTTTGTTGTTGTTGTTGTTGAATCTGAAAATAGATTTGGTTGTTGCTAAAAATATTGTTCAATCAAATTTTAGTTGTTCTTTGTTGTTCAATTTGTGTTCATGTGATTTGTTGTTGAAATGTTGAAGAAATCATGTTCATGTGATTTGTTGTTGAAATATTGAAGAAATCATGTTCATGTGATTTGTTGTTTGAACATTGTTAGAAATTGATCATATTGTCTATATTTTGGTTAAGTTTGATTAATTGATTCTTATAGCTGATGGGGTAGTTTGGTAATTTGTAGTACGTTCAGGGGTAAAATGGTAATTGCAATAAGGACGGAGGGTTAGTTTAGGAATTGTATATTTTGTAATTTTTTATGTGAAGCATGGGGGACAAAATGTAATGGGGTGAGCTGTGATATAGTTGTATAATATAAAGGGGGGACAAGACAAAATTTAGTGGGGAGGAATCTTGTATTTGTTTAGTGAAAGCATGGGGGACAAAATGTAATGGGGTGAGCTGTGATATAGTTGTATAATATAAAGGGGGGACAAGACAAAATTTAGTGGGGAGGAATCTTGTATTTGTTTAGTGAAAGCATGGGGGACAAAATGTAATGGGGTGAGCTGTGATATAGTTGTATAATATAAAGGGGGGACAAGACAAAATTTAGTGGGGAGGAATCTTGTATTTGTTTAGTGAAAGCATGGGGGACAAAATATAATGGGGTGGGGTTGATACATTTATTTAATGTAATGGGGATGAGTGGGAAGAATAATGGGTTTGGTAGAAAAAAGTATTGATTTATTAGTTAATTAAAGGGTTTGGGAATGTGATATATATAGGAGGTCTTGGACAGATATAAAGACACAGACAGAGAATAGAGAGAGAACAGATTAGAGAGAAAAAAAAAGAGCGAAACATTTATTCCGAAAAAATATTGAAACTCTCAAGAAAAGAAAAAAAACATACAAAGAAAATAATTAAAAAAAAAAGTTGAAAATTAGAAGAGAGAGTAGTACACACCTGATAAATATTCTGGTATACAGAGAAATTAAGGGTTGAAGATTAACTAGCCTTTCAAAAATCTGAAAATTTCTCTTGGTTTCTATCCGTTATTTTCGGCATTCCTGGATTTTATTTTGAATTTTTCAAATCTGTCACTGGGGCTTTCGTTGACTGGTTATTGCTGGTTATTGTTGTTGTTGCTGTGTTACGTGTTACGTTGCTGACTTTCTTCTTCTTCTTCTTATATTGACAATATCAGGTACACAACTGTAATTTTGGCATTTTGTAAGCTGAAATGAAGAATGGAGTGTTAAATTTTTTAATTTAGTTTTAATTTTTTTTTGTATTGTATTTAGATTATTCATGTATTATTATTCTGTAAATCACTATCATTTGGCATAACTAGGCATGTTATAGCGATATATTAAATAACGCCTTAACCGGATTATTAGGAAATATATTTAAGCCTGATTACTAATTAAAGCTGTTTAATAATAAAAAATAGAAGGAATAACGTAAAAAAATAGCGTTATTGAATCAGTTTGGAGAAAATTGACTAAGTTCCTTATTCATAAGGTTTTTTGTCAACGTTAAGTTAATCGGAATCATGTAGTTAATTTCAGTTAAAACATGTATTAGTTTGCGAATCAAGTATTAGGACATGATGTGAATTAAATCAAGGTTAATTAAGGTTAAATTGTTTAACTTTTAGAAATATGGTTTAGTAATCAAGTTTTTTTTCAATTTTCAGTATTTGTAAATAATTAATTTCAATAAGCTTAAGTCATACTAACAATATGAATTTTAATCCAACTATGGGATAATTAGTTTTTTTTTTTTTTTTTTTGACAATTCCATGTTGTTTGTAATTATAATTTTAGTAATATTACTTTCCATTAATATTTGTTTTAAATTAGTAATTAATATGTTATTTTTAAGTATGTAGAGATTGACTTCATAATTATAGACAAACTTAGTAATAATAAAGATGTAGTCATTAAAGGGTATTCATAAAATAAGGGAGGATCTCGCTAAAAAATAAATAAATATAAATAATACAAAAAAAATTGCAGTCCTCCAATCTTATTTATTTTTTTTTTAATATAAGAAAATACTTAGATTCCGAGATGGGCGATTTAGTAAAATTCACAGTCCTACCTAATAGTATCATAACGCGTAGTATTTTGGCGCATATTTAATAAGGTTATTTTCTTAAATACGGGTGTACATTTATGTAACCCAAATCACGATCTTGACGAAGTCAAAATGCGTCAACAAATCACGTGTGCACTGGTTGTGGCGTGGTTCGAGATGCGTTTTCACGACGTTGCAATTTTGTATAAAATAAATAATGATAAAAGCGGTTTTAAAAGTTAAATTTGCATATAAGTTCTTAATTGTTTAAAAATCAGATAAATGAGCAAAATATGACAATTGAGCGACCGTGCTAAAACCACGGAATTCGGAAATGCCTAATACCTTCTCCCGGGTTAACAGAATTCCTTATCCGGATTTCTGGTTCGAGGACTGTAATACAGAGTCATTCTTTTCCTCGATTCGGAATTAAAATTGGTAACTTGGGACACCCTAAATCTCCCAAGTGGCGACTCTGAAATAAATAAATAAATCCCGTTTCGATCGTCCTTTAATTGGAAAAAACTCCCTTCGTACCCTCGCGGGGCGAAAAAAGGAGGTGTGACACTTATCAATTAGAAATATTTAGTTGGTAAATCGCGACGTCAATTTGTAATAGCCGGCTAGATTCATGATTTACTTTTTCTAACATTTTTGCAAAAACTTAAATTTTTTATTCGAAATTCTCTTTTCAAAATTTTGAACCAAACGCCAAACGAAAAATCTCCTTTTTCCTCGTTCACGGGCCTATTCACGACACAAGATGGAAATGGACTCCCCTAAGCTGTATAACAAACCTAAATAGAACCCAAAAATTCCCAGCCCAAGAATCTTCATACAAAACACTGACGGCGCCCTAAAAAAGTAGAAGGAGAAAAATGTCATTTCAACCATCTCCTCTTCGAACCAAAACCCTAAACTTCCATTTCTATAAAACCACAGCAAAACCCTAAATCACCATACTCAAAAATCACAATGTCATAGCGAGGCAAGTTTACTATCCCCTTAATTTTTAATTTTTTTTTTTTTGCAAAATAATGTACAGGACGGGGAGGTTCCGCCGGGAACAAATTCCGAATGTCACTGGGTTTACCGGTGGCGGCTACAGTCAACTGCGCCGATAACACTGGAGCTAAGAGCCTTTACATAATCTCAGTAAAAGGTATAAAGGGTAGGTTGAATAGGTTGCCATCAGCTTGTGTCGGTGATATGGTGATGGCTACTGTAAAGAAAGGGAAACCTGATTTGAGGAAGAAGGTTATGCCTGCTGTTATTGTTAGACAGCGCAAACCTTGGCGACGAAAGGATGGTGTTTTCATGTACTTTGAAGGTAAAGTTTTTCTTTTTGCTAACTTTGATGTTTGTGCTGTTGTTTTGCTCTTTGGTTGGGTTATGCGATTTGACTGTATCGGGTTGTTATGCTTTCTTTGCTTGTGTTTGAAGTTACCCATATACTAGTAATGAATTTGTATTAACTATGCTTTAGTTCCTAGTTGGCGTATTAAGTGGACAAGTGTAGAGGGATAGGCCCATTGTTCATAGTAGTTAGTTAATAGTTCTTAAATGGCCATCGGGTATGTTTAAATTTGAAAAAATTGATTGAAGAACAAAGTGATGTTCTGTGGACATGAACTAACAAGTTGCTCCTGGTTGTTGGGACTTCATTGTTAGTATAAATATACATGCATACATATGAAAATATATGTGCGCACAGCTTCCCTTTATAGAAGTAATGCACCAATGTGTGCTGGTTTAGCAGTGTCAGCATCCAATTTTTCTTGTGCATGCGTGATAATATTTTTTTCCAGCTGATAGATGAGAGTCAGTCATGAGATGAGTAGGTGTTTAGTCTATTTGGACCTTCCTCTGTCAAGGCTGACGTAGTTCCTGTTCCATTTCTATCACTTTTGGGTTTCCATTGCATTTTTCTCTCATTTTTTTGGGTTGCTTTGCTGGTAATGTAGTGTTGAGAATTGGACTTGAGTTTTTCTGCACTTCCCATGACCAGCTAGAGTATAGCCAATCTTCCCCTACCTCGGATGGTAACCTCGTTTACTCTCCCTGTCAAGGTTGGGAAACTTGCATGTGATTTATTTTTTGGCTTGTTTCGTTTCCTACCTTATCCACACTTATATCACATATTTTTGTTGATACAGTGTTTCATTCCTGCCCTTGTTTGCTGTCACGGGTTTTCTATATCCATTTTAAGATTGTCTTCTGGATTGTTTTGTAATAGGCCGTGATTTAACACCTTTTCTTCACCAATCCTTTAAAGGGTTATTGTTTGTATTTGCTGATTTAGGGGTTGTCTTGATGCATATATGGCCTATTGCTGAATAGGAGATGTATGCAAGATGATGTGATGCATCCTTGAACCAGCAAAAATGAACAATCGGATATATAATCGAGTGGGTCTCCTCAAGGTGGACCTCACTTTTCGCGATTCGATACATCCTCTCCTTAAATTGGTCATTCTTTGGAGATAGCAGAGCTTTAATTAACATATGGAACATATGATCTTAGTAAGTGAATTAGGCATGAAGATTGTAAGCTTTACCATAGGACTTTATTATCTTGTTTCTGATTGATAATAGGCGTGAAGATAGCGTATCCGCTTGAGTAAGGCGTGTTTGTATAATTTTGAAGCTTAGGATTGTCACAGTGGCAGTTAAAATTGTTGTTTGGAGAGTAACAAGCCATTTTGTGATATGATGTTTTCCCCTTTATTATAAGTTACCTAGCAGGAAATTTTGAACCAGACTTAGTCAGGTATTAACACTTTACTTGTGGTTAATACAGTTACTAGTCTGGGAAATTAATGTTGTCTATCGTTACAGATGTGCTCATACCATTCAAGCACTTCTGCTACATATGGGCACAACATGAAGTAACCAATTTCTTCCATTCTGCATACGTATAGGGAGAAATGGTTGACTTGGCCTCTAATGTTTTCTTTAATTTTTTTTAGTTTCATTTTCTTTTGAAATAGATTATATAGTGTCTTTACATAAAACGCTTTCAAAAATTTCTTGTTATTGTGGTGTATAACTTAAACATATCCATGCATTAGTCAGGTAACAACCTTCTTATACTGTGGTTGATACAGTTACATGCCTGGAAAATAGAAGTGTCCATCGTTACAGATGTGTTGATTCCTTTTAAGCTCGCATTTGCTCCATTTGGACTCTACATATGTTATCGAGTTGTATCATGTTAAGCTTATATAGTGTCTTTACGTAATCCGATTTCAAAATTTTCTTCTTGCTGTGGTGTATGACTTAAACAAATCCAGATATTAGTCAGGTAACAACCTTCTTATACAGTGGTTGATACAGTTACATGCCTGGAAAATGGAAGTGTCCATCGTTACAGATGTGTTGATTCCATTTAAGCTCACATTTGCTCCATTTGGACTCTACATATGTTATCGAGTTGTAGCATGTTAAGCATATAGAGTGTCTTTACATGAATATATTTCAAAATTTTCTTGTTATTGTGGTGTATGACTTAAAACATATCCAGATATTAGTCAGGTAACAACCTTCTTATACTGTGGTCGATACAGTTACATGCCTGGAAAATGGAAGTGTCCATCGTTACAGATGTGTTGATTCCTTTTAAGGTCCCATCTGCTCCATGTGGACTCTACATATGTTATCGACTTGTAGCATGTTAAACTATATCGGCTAGTTATATATTTTACATACTTGAAGTTTGCAAGGTGGATGGAATGTGCTCTAGTAGTGTTTTGTACTTCTCAAGCACAGCAATGTTTCTGAAGGTAATAGCTACTTTTGCTGAGATCATAACGTATGACTAGTATGTTTTTGCAGATAATGCTGGTGTTATTGTGAATCCCAAGGGAGAAATGAAAGGTGAGGTCATCTGCTTAATCTTCGTCAATAAAATTTAATTAAACTTTATGCAATGGGATATCTCATCAAATATTCAACTCAGATTTTTTTGTTATATCATGTATGATATACACTTTTCAGTTTCAAGTTTTGAGAGTAGCATTACATAGCTTAGTTCTTTGTTTAGCATAATGACAACAAACCTAGTGTAATCCTACAAGTGGGATATGAGGAGGGTCGTGTATGCAGGCAGACCTTACCTCAACTTGTGAAGGTAGAGTTATGGAAGGGCCGAACCCCAAGGGGTGTGATGTGGACAGCTTTCCTTGATGCAAGCATCAATGGTTTCCACGGTTCGAACGCGACTTATAGGTCACACGGAGACAATGTTCAGCAGTATATCAAGAATTTAAACTGTTTAGTTTTCATAAAGATTTCAGTGTATGTATCGTTCATTAGCTGTTTTTGGCTGCTGCAGGTTCTGCTATCACTGGTCCAATTGGAAAGGAGTGTGCTGATTTATGGCCAAGGATTGCGAGTGCAGCTAATGCAATTGTCTGAACAAAGATTTAACATGCAGATTTTGAAACTGTTCGTATTAATGTTTCACATATAAATATACAAACAAATGTAACGATGTTGTATTGGTCCGAGAGTTTCAACAAGCTCATATACCAATTATTTTTCCGCTTAATACCAAACTTTGTTTAGTTGTTGATAATATTCAGTTTGTCAAAGTTTTATAGATGATTCTGAACTATTGTCGGATTTATTGCTAAAGCTAGCTGTATTATCTGGTTTGTGTCCTGATTCTCTAGCTACGGCAAATAGCAAGGGTAAATACTTATCCCCACAGGGTGTTTATACCAAACTATATTAACTCACTATGGTTAATTAATTTAATTAGATGAGAATATATATAATTTATCATGGTTAAATGATTGAAGTCCATATGCAAGGCACATGCCATGTATCTATTGGTTTGGTGTGGTGCGGGTAAGCCCCACCAAATTAGATTAAAATTTTCATCATTACGCTTTTACTAAACACGAGCAAGACCAAACGAATTGTGAGGTGTTATATAACTATTGCATAAATTAAGTTACTAAGTGATTACGCTTTCAGTTTTATTGAAGTGAAAAGTTAGCGGTTTAAATTGTAAGAGCTAATATTTACTACAGTACGTTTTATATGACTATCAACTAGTAGTATTTTCTAACCAAAAAAAAAATGAAAAATACTGTATTATTTCCCAAAGAAGGTACTGATATCTTCCAGTGTGCAGTTGCAAATTGCTATTTCGATAAAGGGTCTATCGAGAAAGATTCAATAATTTGAATCATAAGAATATTTGTTTAAATTTTATTATATCTCTCTTAAATATCTCATTTAATTACAAATGTTACTTCTCAAGAAGAGAAAAAGGGTGCAATTTGGACAACCTCAATATTGCAAAACAGAAGGGCAAGTTACAAATGGCCGACTCGGTCAAAATAATTACATATGTTAGTCAAATATATAAAAAAAAAATATATTGTATATTATATACACAAAAAAGGCGTAATGGCTTTTTGACCACTTAAACTTATACCGATTTGTAAAACCGATACATGAACTTATATTTTTCCCATTTGAACACTTCAATTTGACGGAATGAATACCAATTAACACTTTCTGTTGAACGTGTTCACCAATCACTCTGACATGAATGTCATGTCACTTGTTTGGTCTTTATTATATGACATGTGGATTTGTGGGTCCTATATTATTAAAAAAATTAAACTTTAAAATTTTATTTTCTTTTTCTTTCTCTTTTTCTCCACCATACATAGCCAATAGTCCACCAACAACTCCAAACCACCATCATCTTCCTCCTATATGAAAGCTTCGTATTCAAATCATAAACACCTACCACCGAATCACACCCTCCTCCCTTCATCCACCTTTTTTCCGGTAAAATCTATTGTTGTTCTACCAACCTAAATCATCCAAAAAGCCAAGTTGGACAAATTTGCAAGAATTTTTGTGAGTTTGACAATTTTGTATGGCGCTTTGTGTGTGGGAGCAGGTTCAAAAAATGTATTTGCCCTGAACTATGGCCTTTGTATATAGCCTGTGTTAAGCAATATGCTCTTTTCGAGCTCTATTGCTCTCTTCTGCTTTGTTCATTTGTTGTGATATGTTGGTAGCTTTCTTGTTTTATTTCGCATTGACCTAAGCAGTTGTTGGAAGTTTGAGACAAGCCGATGCTTCCGAAATTCACGAAAATGATATAAGATTATCTAGAATTTTCAATTTTCATTTCTTTTTTTAGTAAATCAACGCATAACAATTTAGATTATTTTTAGATTTGTGCTTGTCATCCTTGTGCAATAGCCATTTAGTGAATGGGGAAAAGAAAAGGGAAAAAGAAACGGGGAAGGAGAGGGAAAGTAGGGTAGAAAATGAAAAAAATTTACAGAATGGGGGAGGATGGGGGAGTTCGCTTGGGAAGATGAGAGAGGTGGGAGGGGAGGGGAAAAGAGAAGGAGAGATGGAAAGGTCTTTTTTTCTTTTTCTTTCTTATTTATATTTTATTCTATTTTTAATATTTTTTAATAAAAATAATATTATTTACGTGTCTTGGCAGCGTGATTTGCACACAATTTAGTCATGTCAGCTGTGCCACTTTCACATATGTTTGGTCAATGGTCAAATGTGTTTATTAATATTTATTCTGTCAAGTTGACGTATTCAAATGAAAAAAATATAAGTTCATGTATCGGCTTTACAAACCGATACAAGTTTAAGTGGTCGGAATTCATTATGTTGCACTATCGCTTTTGACATCTCTTTCGCTTTAAAACATCAAATATATTAAAATCAATTCCATTAATCTAAACAACTAACCTCTGTTTAACAAAAAAGGATAGATCAATAATATAGGCACGTAATTATTTACATCATAAATGTCTTTGGATTGGGTTAGGAATAGCTGTTAAGTTGACAAATTTGTGTTGACAAAAGAAGAAATAAAAAGGGAAAGATGTGTCAAGGGACGTGCTACCGACTTACCAATTAATTCCAATTTTAATTGGTTATTATTTAGTATAATTATTTGTTGACATTTGTCTATTCTAGGTATAGTTTACGAGTGATAAATCTTTGTTTATATTACTGGCAATATAAACTAATGAGGGTCCATTGGAACTCTGCCACTTATCATCAATTAAGAGTGATGACAAAGATGCTTGAGAGGTATTGACTAATTATACTTGAATTACTTATTTATCAAAGCTGAATATAGAATCTAATTGCGAAACTTCTCGAAGTACTTTGTTTATGTAAAATTTTAAGTTTTATAAAACTTAATAACTTTCCCTAAATATACAATGCTGAGAGTTTGCGACTTCCAAGTCCTAATAAGGAGGATCCTTCATCTTTAATTAGATATTTTTTTGTTCCAATTCTTAGTATAAAATCGATTTGACAAGAAATACTTTACCTCACAAATTAAATTTTCCAATGCAAATTTAAATTAATATGTAAGGCTCTTAAAGTAGATAACAAATGTTGGATTATAATCAGAGGCGAAGTTAAGATTTTAACCTTATGAGTTCAGAATTATAATCCTTTTAAGTTACTGAATTCTAAATTAATATTTTATAACAAAGAAAATACAATGCTGGGAATAGTGCCAGGAGAAAGCATGAATATGTTTTTCCAACATAAATATGTAAGGAATATAGTGAAACTAAGCGATTTGGTTGGGGTTTTGACTTGATTGCTATAATGGGACAGAATTAGGTTCCAACCTGTCTCTTTATTCTTATTAAAGGTCAGGTAAATACGATGTTTATTAGTAATGTTGGGATTAATAATATTATGATTAATATTATTAGAATTAGTAATGTTGTGATTAATTATGCTGAAATTATTTCTATTCGATTGTTTGAGTTGGTTTATATAAATATAGAGTAGTACTGAATATGGTAATTTTGTCTTTATATATATTTATCTATGTATTAAAAATCATGGTATTACTAAAATATCATGGTTTGCTATTTATAAAAATAGTACTGAATATGATATATAACTAAAACCAACATTAATTATACATAAGTTGAACAACATTGCAAAACAAGAAATTATTAATACCAAAGCTATATATATATTATTTTCTCTAATACATTCTACCAAACCAGTATATAAGATCAGTTTACTTAAGAAAATTACTAGCTCTGAAATTTGTTTTATATGACGGTCAATACAACAATTTTTATATATAGCAATAAATTATAATCGGTGGTATCATTTATACTTACAGGAGGTGTTGGTCGATTAGGTTTGACTCCATGCGATATAGCTGTACGTTGACATGGCAAGGAACGTGGCACCCACTTGGCAATTATTTCTAAGAATCCAACGTTTTATTGGTTGGATTTACGGCGTTGTTTTCTTTCAACTTTTTTATATTAGAGTAATTATTTGACACTTCTTTACTGTAGATATTTCTTGCGAATAGTAAACAATTTAACGGAATCTTCTTATTTTAATAGCTTGTTTTTGTAAACATAAATCAATAAATCTCGATACTTAAAGTTAAAAAAGTTTCAGAAACCTCTTACAGGTTTATGTTCGTAACAATAATCTCTCTTATATTTTGATATGATCAGTGGACAACGATATTAATTTATTAAGACGACTTGACACGACTACAATGTTCGAGAACTTCACTTTCTATCTCAAATTAGTATTGATGTGGTATTACTTTTAAATGATGTCAATTTGTGTATTATATACATATGCTTATTTAGAAATAAATATTGTTTTATTATTTATGAATTTTTTTAGTAAACTCAAATGACACTCTTGATGTAATTGATGATATAAGGTGGTGCTAGACTGCTAGTGTGAACGAAATACAAAAATCAAATTCCATTTTTCATGATCTAATTAGTTGTACTTAAACCAAAACCAAAATATGTAAAATAAGACAATTAATATTTAATTTAATAAACCTGCCACCTAAGAGATCATGTGTTATTGAGGACAAAAATATACATGGTGACAACTAATTCTCATCACCCCATGTGACCATTCATTTTAATTCCTCACTCTCTCCACAATAAGTAGCTCTACACAAATGAACTAAAAAACCCAACTTTCTCATCAATTTCTTCAACTTTTTTTTCTCTCCCTAAAACAATGGCAAAAAAACTTGGAATTTTCTTTGCAATATTTTGCATTCTTTTAACTTCATCTTTTGCAGATTGGAACATCTTGAAAGAACATACAACCAATAGTGGTCTTAAAATCAGTCTCAAGAATTATTGTGAAAGTTGGAGAATGAATGTTGAGTTGCACAATATTAGAGACTATGTTGTTGTACCTCAAGAATGTGTTTCTTATATTGCAAAATACATGACTTCCACTCAATACAAAGTGGATTCTGATAGAACCATTGATGAATGCATACTTTATATTAGTACTAACTGCATCTTGGAAAAAGATGGTAAAGATGCTTGGATTTTTGACATTGATGACACCCTTCTTTCCACTGTTCCTTACTACAAGCAAAATGGCTTTGGGTAAGTTTTCTTTCTCTTTTTTCTCCTCTGAAAGAGTTTGTATAAATTCTATATACTCATTGTGTGGTAATCTAGTAAATAGAATAATAACCTGTTATAGTTAGTTAAATTACAAAGGGAAGCCTTGGAACAACGGGAAAGTTATCCGTGTGACCTATAGGTCATGGGTTCGAGCCGTGAAATCAGCCAGTGATACTTGTATCAGAGTAAACTATCTACATCACATCGCATGGAGGAACGGTAAAGTTGTCTTCGTGTGACCAGGTCATGGGTTCGAACCGTGAAATCAGTCACTGATGCTAGCATCAGGGTAAGTTGTCTACATCACACCCTTAGAGTGCGGCCCTTCCTCGGACCCTACATAAATGTGGGATACTTCGTGCACTAGGCTGCCCCTTTTTAGTCAGTGAAGTTACATAGTCAGTACATATAACTTAATTCTCAAAGTTATTATATGGGATTTTCATTGTTGCTAATTTTTTTTTTTTGGTGGAATAGGGGAAATAAGTTGAATGTGACATCTTTGGAAGATTGGATAAGCCAAGGAAAAGGAACAGCATTAGATCATTCCATGAAGTTGTTCAATCATCTTAAAGAACTAGGAGTTAAGATCTTTCTTGTTTCTTCAAGAAAAGAACATCTTAGATCTCCTACCATTGACAATCTTGTCCATGTTGGTTTCTATGGATGGACTAGCCTCATACT